AGCTGCCCATTTAGTCTTAATTCATGATATCCTTTGGTTTCATTGGTCCAGCTTCTCTCTGAACATTTTCTGGGGTTAGCTCCAGCATTTACAGTAGAGATGAACAGGTGCAACCGGAGGCTTTGGTCAGGTGGCCTCAGAGCATCCAGAGAAGAGACTGGACGAATTAATTGTACTTCAGCATTCACCTGTGTCGTGTCCTTTTGATTTTGTCTGAGCATAACTTGTGCCTGTGGAACAAGCAGCTTATCTCTGGGATTCAAATGGCTACCACAATGCCATTATCGGTTAGCTTTCACGCTGAGGGATTTGGAGCTGTATTTAATCCTGTATCACAGATACAGGACTCCAAAGAAATCTGAATTCTAACTACTGAAGTTAGTTTGTTCTGGGGTACATATTTCATTTTATGCTAGAACTATGCAATCCTAATGAAAGGGGCCTTATATTAATCAACTAATTAATCCATCTCTTCTGCAATATCAGAAACTACTTCTGTAGGTAAATGTTACAGTTTCTAGAAGCACCGTTTTCGTAAGATAGGCAGGAACCAGAAAATTTGTTTCTTCATTGTATATCACCAACTAAGCCTAATTTAAAATCCATCTCTTAGGTACTTGGAAAAAATAATCTATATTTGCTTTATTTACACAGAAAGAAACAGTTCTTATTTTCTGATTGTAAACCCACATATATAAACCATTACACAGGGAAAAACAAATTAGTAATTTAGCAAAGTTCTGAACCAGATCTAGTTCAGAAAATCTCAGTAACCTTCTTAAGTAAATAAGACTACTTAGCAGCAGTGAGGTATCTTTTATACTTTTTCTATTTAGAAGGGTGTTATTTAGTAAATATTTTCAGTTACACTATTGTGACAAGTGATATACCAGTGAATGAACTAGTGAAAATTAATTAACCTAAGTATTTAACAATGTGGAAATGGTAAAATAAATTATGATGAAGTATTATACAGCTATTAAAATTATATTTTTAAAGATATTTAGGGATATGAGAAAATGATCAGGATTTAACTCTAAGTGAAAAAGTAAGCTACAAAATACATATAACATAAGATGGTAATTTTGTTAAAACTATATTTATACAAAAACCCATTGCCGTCGAGTCAATTCCGAATAATAGTGACACACAGGACACAGTAGAACTGCCCCATAGGGTTTCCAAGGAGCTGATGGTGGATTCGAACTGCTGACCTTTTGGTCAGCCTAGTTTTTATAATGACATAAAAAAAGACTCTAAGAAAATATACCAAAATATTGACAACAGTTATCCTCTGGGTGATGAGATTTTGAAAGATTTTTGTTTTCATCCTCACAATTTTCTGTATTTTCTCAATTTCACACTTTGTACATGTATTACTTTTATAATAAAATATTAATAATTAAGTATTATAAATTATTAAAATCCCCCAAATTTCAAATTTTTCTTCCAACATATGCTTCAATCCTCTGGAAAGTTCTTGTTGCTGTTAGGTGCTGTTGAGTTGCTTCCGACTCATAGCGACCCTATGTACAACAGAATGAAACACTGCCAGGTCTTGCACCATCCTCACAATCGTTGTTATGCTTGAGCCCATTGTTGCAGCCACTGTGTCAATCCTTCTCCTTGAAGGTCCTCCTCTTTTTCGATGACCTTCTACTTTACCCAGCTTGATGTCCTTCTCCAGGGACTGATCCTTGCTGATAACATGCCCAAAGTACGTGAGACGAAGTCTTGCCATCCTTGCTTCTAAGGAGCATTCTGGCTACACCTTTTCCAAGACAAACTTGTTTGTTCTTTTGGCAGTCCATGGTATATTCAATATTCTTTGCCAATACCACAATTCAAAGGCATCAATTCTTCCGTCTTCCTTACTCATTGTCCAGCTTTCACACGCATATGAGGCAATTGAAAACTTCATGGCTTGGGTCAGGTGTACCTTAGTCCTTAAAGTGACATCTTTGCTTCTGAACACTTTAAAGAGCTCTTTTGCAGCAGATGTGCCCTATGCAATATATTTTTGATTTCTTGACTGCTGCTTCCATGGTCGTTGATTGTGGATCCAAGTAAAACAAAATTCTTGACAACTTCAATCTTTTCTCTGTTTATCATGATGTGGCTTATTGGTGCAGTTGTGAGGATTTTTGTTTTCATTATGTTGCGGTTCAATCCATACTGAAGGCTGTGGTCTTTGGTCTTCATCAGTAAGTGCTTCAAGTCCTCTTCACTTTCAGCAAGCAAGGTTGTGTCATCTGTGTATTGCAGGTTGTTAATGAGTCTTCCTCCAACGCTGATGCCATGTTCTTCTTCATACAGTCCAGCTTCTTGGATTATTTGCTCAGCATACAGATTGGATAAGTATGGTGAAAGAATACAACCCTGATGCACACCTTTCTTAACTTTAAACCATGCAGTACCCCCTTGTTCTGTACGAAGGCCTGCCTCTTGGTCTATGTACAGGTTCCTCATGAGCACAATTAAGTATTCTGGAATTCTCATTCTTCACAATGTTATTCATAATTTGTTATGATCCACACAGTCAAATGCCTTTGCATAGTCAATAAAACACAGGTAAACATCTTTCTGGTATTCTCGGGTTTCAGCCAGGATCCATCTGACATTAACAATGATATTCCTTGTTCGACGTCCTCTTCTGAATCCAGCTTGAATTTCTGGCAGTTTCCTGTTGATGTCCTGCTGCAGCCACTCTTGAATGATCTTCAGCAAAATTTTACTTGTGTGTGATATTAATGATATTATTCAATTATTTCCATGTTCTGTTGGATCATCTTTTTTTGGAATGGGTACAAACATGATGTCTTCCAGTCGGTTGGCCAGGTAGCTGTCTTCCAAATTTCTTGGCATAGATGAATGAGTGCTTCGAGTGCTGTAACTGATTGTTTAAACGTCTCAATTCATATTCACTCAGTTCCTGGAGACTTGTTTTTCATCAATGCTCTCTGTGCAGCTTGGACCTCTTTCTTCATTCAGTACCATCAGTTCTTGATCATATGCTACCTCCTGAAATGGTTGAACACTGACCAATTCTTTTTGGTACAGTGACTCTGTGTATTCCTTCCATCTTCGTTTGATGCTTCCTGCATTGTTTAATATTTTCCCTGTTGAATCCTTCAATATTGTAATTCAAGGCTTGAATTTTTTTCCTCAGTTCTTCAGCTTGAGAAATGCCAAGAATGTTTCTCCCTTTCGGTTATCTAACTCCAGGTCTTTGCATATTTCATTGCAATACTTTACTTTGTCTTCTTGAGCTGCCCTTTGAAATCTTCTGTTCAGCTCTTTTACTTCATCATTTCTTCCTATCACTTTAGCAACTCCACATTCAAGAGTAATTTTCAGATTGTCTTCTGACATCCATTTTATCAGTCTTACTATTGTAAAATAGACCCAGGTTGTCTTTTCTGAGCAAGATGCTGATTTGGGTGTGACACACTGTCCCACATTCTGATGAGGCATAATATTATATCTATTTTTACTGTTTTGGTAGCACTCGTAGTATTGGTAGGAGATATATAATTGAACATCACTACTTAACCTGCAGATATATTTTATGTAGTAAAATTAAGGATGTTGCATAACAAAGTCATGTACAATCTAAGACATCCCTTGAAAAAAAGGCAACCAACATAGTATTATGAAATAAAAAGAAAACAAGACATTAAAAATGATAGTAGCAGAAAAGAGATACTTCCTAGTTCACCAGCATCACTGAACTACACCTGCTGAGAATGATGAGTAACAAGCAAGACCTTAAACAATGATCTGAAACATGAAATGCCATCACAGATGTGTTTGACATGCAGCAAACAAAACATTTGACCCTGGATATTAAAACAAATGACTAGGAAATGTTGGCTTTCTACCCGAAGTGGAGAACAGTAAACATAGAAATATAAATGTTTTTCCTCTAAGAAAATAAAATTGTCCTGTTAATAAAATTAGAGAATGTTATTTTTTAAGACAGACTTGCTGGCTCAGTAAAATAAAAGATTTAGTTATAATGTAAATCAGGAAGGTTGAGGGGAAAAGAAAAACACCAGTTTCGTTGAGTCAATTCCAACTCATGGTGATTACTTGTGTGTCACAGTAGAACTGTGCTCCATAGAGTCTTCAACGGTTAATTTTTTGGAAGTAGATTGCCAGGCATTTCTTCTGAGGCATGTCTGGGTGGACTTGAACTGACAACATTTCAGTCAGGAGCTGAATGCATTAACCATCTGCACCACTCAGAGACTCCAGGATGGCATAAATAACCCTTTTCACTATTTATACACTATTTGAGTATCTGGAAAGTTTTCATCTTTCCCTCTCGTGAAAAGAGCCAAATTCAAATGACTGAATTTCCACTGGTTTTCTATTTAGTGTCAATGAAAAATATACCTGCAGTTTTGTCCTCCATGAACATGCCGAAAGCAATCCTCCCGACAGGGCCAGCATCCGCGGGGGAGCGCTCGTGCTGAGGCACTGGGGCACTGCTGAACGTGTCCAACATGACGGTCCTCTGGTCAGCAGAGCCTGAGATGAGCACGTTGTCAATGGCCCAGTCGTTCTGATCCAGGCCGTCGTGCCTTGGCTGCCACCAGCGGAAGCGAGTGGCAATCTCTTTAGCATCAGGAGGAAGAAGGATATTCACAAAGCTATAAAAAAAATCAGGGGGGTGGGGGAAAACCCTTTGTCAAATGTCTCACATGAATAAAAAATTTACAACCAGAAGATATTGTTTGTCACATGGTGGGCAAGGGAAAGACATTAACTAAGATTTTTTTTTTTTTCAAACCCAAATAAACTAGCTTGATTTCACGAAGTCTCAGTAGTCACTAAATTGGGGACAATAGAATGTGAACAAATTCAAGCATCACTGAACTAGTCACTTGCTTTAACTGTCCCTGGACAGGCCTTAGAAGGACTACAAAATTTTTTTTTGCATCCCATAGGGGTCCCTTTAGATCTGAAGAACTAGACCAAGGCTTTGTCATCATCAGCCAATACTGGCTTTTTTTTGTTTCCTAGGGGTTAGAGGATACCAGACAGATATTTACCTGTGTTTTATTGGCAAGCAAAGGTATTCGTCTGTGTGGATCATAACAAATTATGGATAACATTGCAAAGAATGAGAGTTCCAGAACACATAATTGTGCTCATGTGGAAAAGTGTGCATAGACTAAGAGGTAGTCATCCAAACAGAACAAAGAGATACTGCATAGTTTAAAGTCAGGAAAGGTGTGTGTCAGCATTGTATCCTTCACCACTTATTCAATCTGTATGCTGAGCAAATAATCTGAGAAGCTGGACTATGTGAAGAAGAATGTGGCATCAGGATTGGAGCAAGACTCATGAACAACCTGCACTGTGCACATGACACAACTTTGCTTGCTGAAAGTGAAGACGACTTGAAGCACTTACTGACGAAGATCAAAGCCTACAGCCTTCAGTATGGAGTACACCTCAACATAAAGAAAACAAAAATCCTCACAACTGGACCAATAAGCAACATCATGATAAAAAGAGAAAAGATCAAAGTTGTCAAGGATTTCATTTTACTTGGATCAACGTCCATGGAAGCAGCAGTCAAGAAATCAAACTACATATTGCATTAGGCAAATCTGCTACAAAAGACGTCTTTAAAGTGTGCAAAAGCAAAGATTTCACTATGAAAACTAAGGTGCACCTGACCCAAGCCATGGTATTTTCAATCACCTCATATATGCACGCAAAAGATTAACAGTGAATAAGGAAGACAGAAGAAGAATTGATGCCCTTGAATTACAGTGTTGGCAAAGAATACTGAATATACCATGGACTGCTAAAGGAACCAATAAATCCATCTTGGAAGAAGACAGCTTCCCTTGTGTCTAGATGTGGCCATGTGACTAAGTTCTGACTAATGGAGTGTGAGTGGAAGGATGTACACCTTTCTTGCCCCATCCTCCTTCCTCTGGCTGGGATGCAGAGGAGCTACAGTGGCCCTTTTGGATCATATGGTGGAAGCCACCTGTTGAGTGGGGCAGAACAACGAGAGAAGAAACCTGGGTCTCTGGTGCTTTGGAGCCACTATAGCCACCATGGGCTACTTTCTTCCGGATCTTATTTACATAAGAGAGAAATTAAACTTTGTTTACTTATTTTGGGGTTTCTGTCATTCACAGCTGAATCTATTCTGAACTGATATACTGAATTTAAATTATCATTAAAGATTCTTTAATTTTTTATTTTATTTTATCCACTTTCTAGCTTGTTCCTGGCTTGCCATGTACAAAGGGATCACCTCTGTTTCTTGATTGGGCTTTGTTTCCCTCCCCTCTCATCGCCCTCCCCTCCCCTCCCCTCCTCTCCAGCCTGCTTCTCCCTCCTTTCTCTTCTTATCCTCCTCTTCCCTTTTCCCCTTCTCCTGCTCCTTCTTTAATAAATATGCCCTTTTCCTTTTCAACAGCCTCTTTGATTTTCCCATTTGGTCACATTTATTGTTTTTTGACCTTAAAGAATCTTAAAAAAAAAAAACAAGAAAACCATACATTTTGATTATTCAGGGTTTTTAATAAGGGGTTTTAAAATAGACTTTAAGT